TTTTTTTTTTTTTTTTTTTTTTTTTTTCTCCCAAGTGTGGTGTATTCGCCCAGGGGGAATATCGCGCGGGAAACATAAACCGAGGAAAAGGGAACAAAGTAAGGCTGCTCCTAATTTTTTTTTTTTTTTTCATTAAATTGTGATCAAAATGAAAAAAAATGACGGTTTCGTTTCTTTCAATTTTCCCTTTTGTGTTTCCTCTTGGGGGTCGGTCCCTTTACGCGTTATTCGAGAAGGGGATCCCTTCTGATTCCATCTTCCTTAACTTGTCTTGCAGGAAATGTACATTTTGGTCAATCTTGGAATTGATCAATTTGATGTTTTGCTCGGCGAGACTGATTGTGTCGTCTAGCTTGCTTTGCTGCTTTTCCAAATCTGAGAAATAGGGTTGGGTGGGTGAGGGAGTGAAGATGTGTGCACTTGGTATGTCATGCCTTTTCCGTGACGACATGTCCACGCTCGCATAGATGAACATATTCACGCTGTACTCACCGTCTAGCCTGGAAGAGAAGGACTGCGCGTTGTCATGCACCCGTTTCAGTTGGTGAAGCCTTGCCAGTACGTTTGGGATTATATGGTGAGTCTTCTTCCAGAGGTCTAAAATTTTAAAAAGTTCATCAATGGACTCTTCGTAATTTCCTCGATCTTTAGAAATGTTTAAAAGATCTTTTTTGAATTTTTTTAAGTTTAAAAATTCAGATTGCAAATTTTGCATTTTTTTCTTCACACTGTCTAATTTGATGGAATCTAACATGCTTAGTTTATTGTATAAATCCAGGATGGCATGATTCAGATCATCATATGGAAGCATGGCCATTTTATCTATCCCCAAGGCCTTTTCAATATCAGCAATTTTTCTCTCCAGCGTTAGTAGGTGGGCAGTCTGAATTTCCTTTTCCATCCCATTTTGTATGGTGTAGATGTTTACTTGCTTTGGAAAAGAGTCTCCACGTACGTCCCTTTGCATATCTCTTCTGTCCTTTTCATCATTTGGTTCTTTTTTCTGGCAAACATCATCCCAGTTCTGTAGCCGATCGAGGATACCTCTCACCACTTCTCCGTTACAATCCTCAGGAGAACTATTAACCTCCTGTTGGGATTGCATTTTCTTCTCCGCCTTTTCCGACTTGAGCAGCGTTCTCAAATTATCATCATTTATCATATCGTCAATGTCATTTTTTAGAGCAAAAAGTTCGAGCAGTATTTCGGGTGCCTCACGGTTATGCATAATTTTCTTAAAAATTTGTTCATGCTCTGTTACATCTTCGTTTAATTTGTCGTATGGATTATCTGGATCATATGCTTCCCTTTTCCTATTAGCTAAATCGTTAATGTAAGCAGTGGTGTCTTCCACTTCGCATTTTAATTTTTGCAAATAAGACAGAGGGTCGTCTAAATTAGTTGACAAATTTTGATCATATTCATACTGGGTAGAGTTGTTATATTTTAATTTTGCAGGATCTACTTCGATAACTAAACCGTTATTATGATAATGCTTAAAAATTTTATTTTTGTAAAACTCGTAAGAATATAGTGGTTTGTTCATGGGACTTTCATCCAAGATGTCGCTTTGTTTTTTTTTTTTTTTTTCATCTGATAAATTGTTATTGTTATTTTCGCTTTTTGAGTTCGCTCGAAACAGAGGATTTACTTCTCTATCTTTTGAGTCCTCCGTTACGGAGGCTAGCATGCTCGATAAGTAGGTATCCAGAGGGGACGAATATATGTTAACATTTATTTCGTCCAAAAAATGCTTATTCATGGTGACTACATCTTTATACAATTCATTTGCTTCATTGTGACATATGGTATAGTTGGACGTGTCTGGAATATATTCGTAGACATCCTTCTCCTGTGAGGTGACAAAGAAGTCCCGCATATCTACTTTTAAATTTTCTTTTGTTATTTTTTTGTTTCTGCTCGAGTTTATTTCTGCTTTCTTTGCGTCGTTATACATATCGCTTGGTTTAAAACATTTGGATTTTATTTTTTTTGTTCCATTTTTGTGGCTTTCTTCCGGCACACTGTGTGGAGGCTTCTCATCAACGGGAAAATCATCGAGTGTACTTGCAATAATGTTTTTTTCTTGTTTTATTTTTTCGTCTAGGGAAGTTGTGGATAGGTTGTTGCCTTGCGCTTTTGGTTCTTGTCCACTTTTGTCCATGGTGTCGCTTTTCACGCGGCTCAGCTTTGGTTCGTTTTTTCCGTGCGAGTCGTCCGCATCGTCTGGAACATCGTTTGGAACGTCGTTTGGCGTGCTTCCTGCGGATTGCTTTTCCGAGCCATTCTGCTGAGTCACCTCAGATGAGACATTGTTCGCAGACTGTTCACTTTTCTCACTATGCTCGCGCTCACTGCTGTGGTCGCTGCCATCCTTTCCTTCTTTTCCTTCCCCCTCTGTTCCCGAGTTACTACCCGCTACTTTGTTCATATCCATGTCTGAGAAGCCCTGTGGGTGCGCGCCCTGATAAGCCTAATCACTTTTTCTTGATGTCTATACTATTTATGATTCACAGAAAGAATGTTTTTTTTTTTTTTTTTTTTTAGCTGTTCATACTTTTTTTTTTTTTTCACATAGCTAGCTTTTTTCACTTAAAATATTTTCACTTTTTCCTTTTGATCTTTGCAACGATAATTATGTGGAATACTAAGACTACAACAATGCGAAAAAAGGAGGAAAAGAAAAAAGGAAATACACACACATGCGCGTGAAAAATTAGCACAACGAAGTGAGCAAAAAGGGTCATTTTGCATTTTTGCAAAAATTGTAAGCATTATATGTGCAAAACATTGTCCTTTTTTGTCAGCATTTTTTTTTTTTTTTTTTTTT